AAAAGACGGAAGGCAACACTATTGCCTTTTTTTTTTTTTTTTCAGGAAGAAAATGAGCAAAGCTTTGAGGCCTGTTGCCAAAATGAGTCGATTTGTATTTTAATGGTGAAAATAATTATGTAAACAATTGACTGTACATCATACTATAGAAAGAAATTACTGTTTCTGGTGATTTATGTATCGTGTATTACGAGAGTCATGAGTTTCAGTGAAAATGTATACTTTCAGAGCACATAGATTTATTTACTTTCCACCATCTTGAACCTGGTTGTGAGTTTGTATCCAACTCTGGGACTTGATTAGGCTTTTTAGAAATATGGTAAAAACAGCCACGTGACCGGATCATAAAAATGCTTTTAGTCATGAAAGAAAGTATGGTAAAATTTTTGGTTGGAACACCAAAATGCACCCCAGGATTCAGTATTTAAAAGGATTAACAAAAATGTTAACCTCTACAAAACATACAGTTAGCTGTAATATTGATTCTGACCTTACATTGTTCTCAATCATCTCGTTATACATATACCACTCCTTCCTTTGAAAAAACGACTATATGTCATATGTATGATTCATGGGTTGTTAACATTGTTATGAACTTAAATAAGGCTAATTGTAAATTGAAAGGTTTCTAAGTTTCTTTGTCAAATGGAATTTTGTATCCGAACATTTATGAACATTTATTGCATAAATTTGCATTAAGTACTAATATGTATATATGATTCACATCCCAATATTGCTTGTCTTCCTCCTATAATAGCTGAACCCATTTTTCAGATGACCTAGATTTTGTCAGTTTTCCTCCATCTTATCATGGATTGCCTTCCAGGTCTACTGCAGAATCTGTTAGGTCTATCTCAATTTTTATGGACACGTTTCACAGTATATTCCCCTTCTCTTGACATTGTTTCATGATGATCTTTTTGTTTCTATTTTGAGAGTGGGTATTTGCAAGCCTTGCCCTGTACAGGCTTTACATCTTTTAGCCTTAACTTACCATCAAATAGATTTTCTTCCTAATTTTATGTTGTTTGCATCTCTGTTAATCCTATCCATTTTATCTCCTCCTTAGTTTGTTTAACTTCATTTTACCCTATTGACTCTCCTACAGTTAATGTTTACCTTTCATCTCCTTTCTTTGGTGTTCAACTTATATTTAGGTATTTCATGGGATACCTCTTCCTTCTTCCCTCCATATTGGGATGTTTGTCATCTTCAGTTCATTCCCTCCACATGTGACTTCTTTGCTGTTAGGATCTTCTAGGGTGGGACACTGCTGTTTACCATCCACTGTTAATAGGGTCAGTTCTTTTTCTCCATCAGTCCATTTTTTGTGGCTACTCCTC